GCGAGGTGCAGAGGAGGCTGCGGCAGATCCCGGGCTGCTGTTCAAATCCATTGTTTTCTCCTTCCTCCTGGACAGAACCCAGACTTTGTTTGAGATGGGATGTGCCCAGTTTAATACTTTTGAAACCTCCTCTGCAACCAGTGCTAGATGTTAAAATGTAAACTCTTCTTCCTGCCTTGAACTTGGAGGTGATAGGTGGGACCACAGCAGTCATTTGGCTGCCACAGAGGAAAAAGCTGAAAGAATTAGAGACAAGGGCTTGATGTTCTCAGGGCCAATGAACCAACCTCAACTGTCTACCTTAGGTCTTGTTATGCAAGGAAGAGCAATTCCCATTTGTTTAAGCTATTCTTAGTTTATTGTTATATTTCTTTGAGCTAAATATATTCCTAATTTACACAGAGACAAACACACAACAGTAAGTGGTAGTGGCACTATAGGGGTAGAGACAACCAGGAAGGAGCAGAAGAATCTAAGACGGCAGTGCCACAGAATCCAAGTGAAGTACAGAGCCAGGGGCAGAAGGGATCAGTTAGCAGTGAGAAACAGCGGGATGTTCAGTGAGATGGAGATGCTGTAGCAATGAAGAGGTCATTTAGCAATGGTTGTTGACAGAGTGGTACCCACTGGTGGGTGGTAGAAAAAGAGAGGCGACAGAGGATGATGGGTAACTGTGAAGTGAAGCAAGGGGATGTAATGTAGACCAGGGTCAACAAACTAGAGCCCACTGGACAGCTGGGCCTTGCCACATGCTTCTGTAAGTAAGGTTTGCTGGAGCCCAGCCATGCCCATGCATTGCCACACTGTCCACAGCTGCTTTCAGCGCTGTGATGGCACAGAGGAGACGAAGATCATTTGCTGTCCCCTAACTTAGGCCATTTTTCTACATGCGTGGCTGTGAAAGGAACAAATGACTCAACAGTCAGAGGGAGACTTAAGGCTGAAGTTTTTGTCTTCATTATGAAAAGACAGGAAAGACCCTCTGGAGGAGCTGCCAGTGTGCAGGGAAGAAGTGAGGCACTGGGATGGGGAGAGAGGGACTGACCCGTGAAGAACACAGAGGAGCCGCCAGGGTAGAGTGAGAGCACGTGCTGAGGGCTTCCTAGTGACGAGGCGTCGCGGGCTGCTGTCTCCCTCCCGCCAGGGATGCTTGGGATAAATGCACAGCAGGGGCTTGTGACGGACAGGTCTGTAAGAGGGTTCAGAACCTGTTCTGTGCAGTCTAGAAAGAGAGAGGCCAAAAGGAGTGGGGATATTTTGCCAAATCGTTTGGTCTCTGTGGGCCACGGTTTCACCATCAGTAAATTGAATTTTTACCTGTATATTGGAAAGTCTAACCAATCAAGAATTGTATAGCACTCTGCAGCTATAAAATGTCACTGAAATGCTTAATAATGATAGAACTCTTCTGACACCAGAGTGCTGAGAGAATTAAGAGGCAGACGCTTTCATGGTGTTCGAAAGATGAAAAGCTCAGTGTAGACATTATGTCTTACTAACTACCGTCATTACAAAAGGCAGGTAGCAGGCACAGTGAACATGAATTACAACTGCACAAAACCATGCAGACTGAAATGGCTTTTTAAAGAACAAAGCAGGGTGAAACACATTAAAAGAGAAAGAGGTTTTTCACTTTTTCCTCTAACTGTATGAGACGGCAGCAGGTACATGGTCATTTAGGTTTTAGTTTTAACCTTTTCTTCCTGCCTTTGCACCAAAGAATCATAAAATAATAGAACTGGATGAGTCCCTCAGTAAAACTGACTTCAGGCCTCTGTCTTACAGACGCTGACCATGAGACCCGTGAGCCGTGAGGCCTGGGTGAGTCACGTTATTTAGCCCAGGGCCTGGAGTGGGCATAAGGCTCCTTCTCCGGTTGCCTCCCACCAGCGCCTACACAACAACGCATCTCCACCGGAGCACCGAGGGCTGCATCTGCAGAGAGGGGCAGGAAGAGGCGGTGGGCCTCTTCTTGGAGGGCCGTGGGACTTGGCTACATTCATGCAGCTGTGGACACAGGTGCACCGCATGGTGGCCGTGCGCTGGGCCAGTCCCCTAGAGAAGTGGACCTGACCAGCCCCGTGGGACCCCCCGCACCCTGGTCCCCTGGCACAGACACTTTCAGGAGCAGGCGCTAGTGGAGAGCCCTGCCACACTTTCTCCTGTGGAAACGTGCTCCTCAGCAACCCTTTGGGCGAGGCAGGGGAGCGGGGGTGTTTCAGACCAGCCCAAAACTTCCGCCCTCCATCGCTCAGGTGATAAAAGTAGGCACTTGGACAGCACAGAGAGGATCGTATCTGTTTTGAATGAAAAAAATTATACAAAAACCTGCTGTTAAGCCTTTGGGGGTTACCAACCCCTTTCCGAATCTGAAGAAATCTTCCTGTAGCACAATGTACCTACTTCGTAAATCTGACACGTGGTCCGAGGAGTCTACGGGTCACTGCCCCTTCGAGGGCTCCTCGGGTGTCCTGGGCCGCTCCCACTGCCCATCCTGTCTCCGCAACTGGAACCATTCTAACAGTGGATCTAAGTGGTAAACACCTAGAGGGCTTTTCATTTTTTAATCCCTTTTTGTAGTTTCCAAATTTTCTGTGGTAACCATGTTTTGTTTAGCATAACCACAAAAAAGTGTTTAAAATGAACCTTAAAAATACACATCCCTGACTCCTTCCATCATCTGCATTCATACATTAGCTTAGAAGCACCCCACAGGCCTTCAAAGAGCTCAAACACACCAACTGCTCAAGTGAATGATCCTTTATGTTACTGATCCTAATAATGCTTATTCTTTGATAAGGCATATTTTACTATTTAGGTCTTTGATGGACAATTCCAAATCAATGTATCTCATTACTCAAGGTGCTTTCATAAAAATTCCCCCAAATAAGTATGTCTGAAGAAAATGTTCACTGACCATCTCCGTAAGTTAAAAATCTTTTTCTCTCATGCTTACCCTTTAATTCTTTCATATCTCCAATGGCCATTTATCCAGTTCAAGAACTGTCTTCCCTTAAATGTCAGTTTAAGCTAACTGTCAGTCCCAATAAAGCTGCATTGTCCAGGAGGCAGATTAGATCCCACTGAGATCAGACACAGACTCTTACCCTGACAAGCAGCCAGGGAAGGGATGCTCCAATGAATAAACTACAGGATAATAAGAAATATTGGAACAGATGGGTAAAGTCACCTTAGTGAGTTCTGGGGAATATCTGGTATAAGACACAGAAAGAAATATGCCTCAGAAATTACTTCAATACATAAGTGACATAATATGATACAGCCTTAATGGTGCCCACCCCAGACAAGGCATTCCTGCCCTCTCATCCTCCCGCCAGGTCTATGACCTTGAGTTTCCAAGCCAGGAGTCTCCTATTTAGCACAAAGAAGCCCCAAGGCAATTTTCTCTAAAGGGCTGAGGATCAGGAGGGATGTCATAAACCATGTCCATGAGGCCAGGCTGGCACAGCCACAGCCTCACCACGAGCGGCTGACTGACAAGCCAGTAAGAGTTCAACAGATAGACACTGTTTGGGAATTCCCTTTTCTTTTATGGGCTGTGAGCAGAAATGGGTGTGGGGGCTGAGTAAGCCCATGAGAAAGGCTGGGGAGCTACTGGGCTGAGGTCACGCAGAGAAATATCAACTCCCACTTACTACGCTGCCACAGAAGCTGCTGCTGGCTCAAGCCCAGGGAGGGTGAGCCCTGCTTGCAAGGACTGAACATGCACACGTGCAATAAACCCACCTACCCTTCACCTGCACAGCTGCTGAAGACAAGACCAGCACAGCACTGTCCACCAGCAGAGGAGCAGTCTGGCAGAGCAGAATGGATAGGCAGCAAAGAGAGGTCAAGTTTAGGCTCTCCTACTTGGTAGCCCAGGACAAATGCCTACACCTCTCCAAGCCTCAGTTTTTTCACCTATAACACGGAGATATCAATACCTACCTTGCAGGGTTATCATGAGGATTAAATGAAATAACTTATGTGATATGGGTTAGCAGGCACTCCTTATATAAATGGGTGATTTCTAGCTTCTTAGTCAAATCCATTGGCTGCTATTTAGCTGCAATGATTTTTCCAAAGCAGAAATCTGACTTCCCAATTCCCCATTTAAAACATTTCAATGGCTCCCCTTTATGTCCAAGATAAAGAGCAAATTCCTGATGACCTAAGAAGTTTTACACGTCTGGGGACCTGGTCAACCTCCCTGCCTTGCTCTCCTGTGCTCCAGCCACATGGGCCTTCCTTATGCTCTGGGAAAATGTAATCCTTCCCAGCTCAAAGCCCTCACTCAGGTTGAAAGCCCCTTCTTCCGGATCTCATCTGCCTGGTTAAAAACTTCTCATAACTTAACTCCTTTGAGGAAAACCTTTCTCACCCTCTGGACTAAGTCAAGCCTCCTCACAATACTCCCGTCACCTCTCTTTGACAGCACTCAATCTGGTTTGTAGTTACACCTGCAGTAATTTACACTATGTCTTAGATAGTGACATAAAAAGGTAAGAAACGGTGCCCTTTTTTTGATTGTCACTGATTCTTCCGGACTCAACACCAAGGGCAATGCCTGGCCCATTTAAGAAGTTTAAAACTTGTGCTGAAAAAATGAATGGGAAGTTCAGAGGAGGGTTGGAAAACACTACCTCCTAATCCGATTAGTACTTCTCTGCAACACGTAACCATGTTCTGCCCGACATGCTTATTAACATTCAATTTTTCCTTTCCTTGCTTGGTTTTTAGTTATGTTGTACACAGTGCTGAACGTTCCACTGCCTCCACGGGACAGGCTCACAGGAGACGATCCACGCTGGGGAAATGGTGTGGGATGGGAGAGGGTATTACGTGTCTTGAACTGGAATAGGGCAAAGGGTGAACTCTACCATGAAGGCAGCTGTGGACTGAGATAAGAATAGGTTTCCTGCCCTAATCCTTCCTTCTCGGGGGTATTTAAATTGACTTCACTTTTTTGGGAGGTGAGAATTGAACAGGGCAACACTTACTTGTTCCCATGAAGAAATCATATGACGTTCAGCAGGTGGCTTTTCTCTGATGGTCACCTCTGTCACACCTGGGGATGATTCTGAAAGAGGAACAAAGGGTCTGTAGCACTGTGATTCGCCTGCTTTCACACATTGCTACCACAGACAGGTGGGTGTGCTCAGACCAGAGAAAGTGGACATTTACGGGGCTTAAACCGTAGCCACAGAGCCAGACAAATTTACACTTAATGTGCAGGGATTTTTTGTTTGTTTGTTCTTGTGGATTTCTTAGGAAGTTTTTGTTTTTTTAATTTAATTTATTTATCTTTAGAAGGGAAGGGAAGGAGAGAAATATCAATGTATGGTTGCTTCTGGTGCATCCCCTGCTGGGAACTGGCCTGCAACCAAGGCATGTGCCCTGACGGGGAATCAAACAGCGATCTTTTGGTTCCCAGGCCCATGCTCAATCCACTGAGCTACACCAGCCAGGGCAAGGATTTCTTAGGAATTTTTTAAAACGCATGAGATCATAACATCTGCAAATAGCAACAGTTTATTTTCTTCTCCAATTTGTCTTTATTTTCTTGGCTAATTGCTCTGATTTGATCATCTAATATAATGTTAAATACAAGTGTTAAGAGGAGAATTCTCAATGTAAAGAAACAAGTAGCCCTGGCTGGTGTAGCTCAGTGGATTGAGTGCGGGCCTGTGAACCAGAGTATCAAGGTTCGGTTCCCAGTCAGGGCATATGCCTGGGTTGCAGGCCAGTTCCCAGCAGGGGATGCACGAGAGGCAACCATACATTGATATTTCTCTCCCTCTCTCCTCCCTTCCCCTCTAAAGATAAATAAATAAAATATTTAAAAAAAGAAACAAGTAAAGATAGTAGGCCTCCCATTATAAGCTTTAGAAAGTCCTGCTTGTAAGGTTGGCCCTGGCTGGCATCTGAGAACTTGGATTTCAGGAGGGTTCCCACCTTTCCCTGGTAAGAATGTTTGCCAGGGCCTCACTTTGCCTAAATGTTAGTGCAAACAACATCCTTCATGCTCAACACCTGCTTCCCACACCCACCTTCCCGGTAAGAATGTTTGCCAGGGCCTCACTTTGCCTAAATGTTAGTGCAAACAACATCCTTCATGCTCAACACCTGCTTCCTTCCTGGGAGTCTGGAATTTGGAGCACACTAAGTAGAAGGTGTGTAGGTGACTGATTTACACTGAAAGGCCTGGACTCCTAAGTGCAGGTAAGCCTCCCTAGCAGACAATGTGGACAAGTTGTCATGGTGCTGGAAAAATTAAGTGTTTCCCAGGTGATTACACTGTGAGGGCGACTGAAAACTTGCACCTGCTTTCCCTGACTCCCCCACGTGCACCTTGCCCTTTGCATTTGCTATGATAAATCGCAGCATGACTATCTCCCATGGCTGTAGTCCTCCTAGTAAACCATCGAACCTGGTGTGGTCTTGGGAATCACCAAACATTTGTCTTGATTTTGATCTTAATGGGAAAGCATCCGATTTTTCACCATTTAAGTATGGTGCTAGCCGGGGGTTTTTCAGCTGCCCATTATCAGGTTGAGGAAACTTGATTTGTATTCTATATACTTTCTAGTTTGTTGAATGTTTTTTTTAAATCCTGAAACAGTGTTGGATTTTGTCAAGTGCTTTCTCTACAACTATTGGCATGATTATGTGGTTTTTGTCCTTTATTCTATTAACAAGGTGCATTACGTTAATTGATATCATATGTTCAACAAATTGCAAATTCCTGTGCTAAATCACACTTGGTAATCTCTTTCATGTTGGTGAATTTGGTTTCATAGTATTTTGTTGAGGATTTTTAAATGTTTGGTTTTGGACAGAAATTTGCAGTTGTGAAGTTATTTCATATCTTTTAGGAAGGAGATTTTGGGAGTTTGCTTACCACACACCTACCACTGACTTCTGCTACCTCATTTAAAAAAATCCTCTTAACATATTATCCTTTCAAAACAAAATACAAATGTAAAAAATATATATATAATTGATTTTCAATTTGTGAGTATTAACTGGAAATTACAAGGTCTGATTTTATAAAGAGAATGTTTAACAGGACAGTAAAGTCACTATGTGTTTAATGTACAGTCATTTAATTCCTTAGGTAGGTTTTCCCTCGAAGTGTCACCAATTTGCCAAACATCTGAAATGTGTAATAGAATATATGAAAAGTATATATGGAATTTAAAATGTTTACAGTCATTTAATTATTCAGGTTTTTAAATCAAACTGACAGTTTACGGGGAATTTTGTTGGCTTGACTTGAGTAGTTTCAACATTACTCAGAAGAAAATAATTTATTTGCAGAAAAATCGCTAGACTTATAAAGAGAATAATGAAGCAAGCCTGTAAAATAGTGAGGCCTATTCGACTAAACCCAGGAGTATAGGCCCAGAAGTAACAGAGCAGAAGTCTGGATAAGAATTTAAGAGATAGGATATAGGTGGTCTTGATGAGATCTCTCCTTGCCCAGCTCTGTAACTTCATTTCTAAAATGTATCGCTTCTCCCAACCACATCATAGTGTTTCATGTCTCATTTACTGTTTTAGACACTGGGAAATACAGGTGAGAACAAGACAAAATTCCTATGCTCATGGATTTCTATTACATAAAAAAAAGACAAACTTAAAAAGCAACCAAATAAATAAAACTTGTCTTAATAAATAATTTCAAGTAGTAATAAAGCCATAACGATAAAAAATGTAAGCTAAGAGTGATAAAGGGAGTTATATATAATCAGGGAAGACTTCTCTGAAGTGGTGATATTCATTCAGGGAGCTGAATGAAATGAGGGAGAGTTAGAGGAAAGTAATTTCAGTGAAGGGTCTAGCAAACTGCAAAGGTTAATATATTTATGATACAACACGGACACCCTGTGGCAAAAACACAATGAAAGATAAGGGCAGACTGTAAGAGTTATGGTACAGCATTTGGATTTCATTGTAAATGTGATGGTAGGGTATCCAAGCCTACTATTCAGCCAGCTTAGTCTGCCTTTCTTCTTGGTTATCAGGCTAACTCCCATTTGTCCTTCAAAATCTAGCACCATGTGTGGGGTATACTCCTTAACTCTCCAGATTAGGTCAATCACCACCTCCTGTGTGCTGCTTCAGACCAACAATAGATTACTGACTTCCTCTCACACTTCTGGGGACCTGGTCTTTTGATTTTTTCACGCGTTGATTCCCCGCCCCACATCTTTGTAGTTCCAGAGTCTAACATAACGGTAGGTGATAAGTAAAAGGTACGATACAGGGAAAACGCCCATTCAGTAGTGCAAGACTAAACTCTTTTGGACTATAACACGGAGGTGCGTGGGTGTTGTTGCCTAGGAAGGTTGGCCGCATCCCTCTCCCAGCTCATTCTGTCACCAGAGGAAAGACTTCAAGGACGCTCCATTGGCCAATAATGCAACTCGGACCCAAATTCCCAACTGTCAGGTGCCTGCTGTCTCTCCTTTGCACGTTTTTGCTCACGCTTACCGGCCCCTGCGGCGGGACCTAGAGTGGGGAGAACCTTCAGGAGTCCCAGCTCTGTGTTCCAACACTCCCGACAAAGCTCCCCCCTTTCTTCCTTAACAACGGAAGTCGCAGCAAGGATGCCCACTGGCACTCAAGGTACACCGTCGCCCCGCCACTCTGCGCTTCTAGTGCACGCCGCCTCGCCCCACAGTCGCCCCTCAGGCTTCCGTCCCCACTCACCTAGGATGCGGGTGATCCCCAGGGTCATCTTCTCCAGGTGCGGCTTGCTGGAGCCCACAGGCGGGGGCGGCAGCTCCTCCATGGCTCGCGTCCCCGCTCCGCGCGCGGCCGGGGCAGCAGAGGGGACGACACGGGAGAGCTGGGTGGGCCGCAGCGTTGGACACCGCCCCCGAGCCTCGGCCATCAAGTTCACGGCATGCCGGGAGTTGTAGTGCTCACCGCCTGAGACCGAGGCTGGGATGCGATGAGGATCCCGGGCTGGTCTGGCAGCAGTTACGCGGTGAGCTCGTTCCCGCGGCCGCGGCCGCGGCCGCGGCCCCTGCCGGCGGGACACAGCGACGCCTCCGCCCTGACACTCCCGCCCCACCGTGTCCGGCCGCCCAGGCGGGGGCGGGCCTCTGCGCAGAGCGGCCAATGGGGACGGGGCCTGGAGTCCAGGGCGGGGCGGCCGCGGCTAGGCGTCCCGAGTGGCGGTTGTTTCAAGATGGCGGACGTGGCGGGTCCCTCTCGCCCCGCCCGCCCGGGCGGCGCGGCGTTCTGGACCCGGGACTGTATCCTTTGCCCGCCTGGCAGGGGGCGCCGGCGCCTTCCCCGGGGCGGCGAGCGGCGAGCGGCGAGCGTGCGGTCGCGTGGGACTCGGCGGCGAGAGGAGCGTGCTGCTGACCCCGTGGGCGGGGCCGTTCTGTCCCGCGGCCGTCCAGGAGCCGGGCTATTCGCCTTGCTTGGGTATTAGGCGGCAGAGCGCCTGATACTGTCTCCAGGCTGGGGTTCCAGGTGTGGGACTGAACGCAGATGTTTCCTAGACCTCTTTGGCGGTGAGCTCTGGAAAGATGACCTACACTCGTGGCCCAGCCTGGGGCTGCCCTTGGTGACATCCGGGCTGCCGGGCAAAATGAGCTTGTGGAGGAGAGAAGGGTGCGGGTGATCTGGGAGCATTTTCGTGTTGGCTTGGAGTGCCCTTGGTCTGCGCTGTTGAGGAGGATGTCAGGATCTTGTTGGACCTCGAAGGCCTGGTAGTGATGATTTATTTTCATACTGAGATGTAAGCGTGGGGCTTGCTTTCACGGGGATTTGGTCTTGTGGCGCCGGCTATTGAATAAGCTGCAGATCATCGTGCTTGGATGTAGTGTAGATTTACATGGAGTTTGCTGGTCACCTCCGGCAGGATAAAAGTGCTTGGATTCTTTTGGGTTGGAGAAACTGTAGAGCTCTTTTACTGTGGTGGTGGGCTTCTCAGTTCAATATCTGTGATGAGTGACGTAAGTGGTTCTTTCCCTGGGTTAGTTACACTGTACCAGCATGAGCTTTTGTCCTGATAATTCACTCCCGTGTCCGTTGGAGGAGTGTTACAGGAAAGCAGGGCAATAGTATATTGGGTGCCAGGTGAGGTGAGTCGTTTTGTCCGTTTGCTCGGAATGGTGATGGCATTGTTTGAGGCATTGCTGTTAACTTTGTGTATTCTTTGCACACTTCTACTTAATTCCCAGTGAAACTTACAAAATTATATGATCAGTTTCACTCATTTGAGTTACTAGAATTAAAGTGTCATGCCATGGAGAGAGGGATATTTTCCCATTTCGTGCTGTTCAGTGTTTGGTGCTATATACTTTCTAAACATAATCACCACTCGTCTCTAGTAGGTTGGTGAGCGAAATCATATACATACACTGGATAAAAGCAAACTAGTGCACTGTGGAAATTAAGTATTTTTTCCTTTAGAGAATATGTGCATTGGGAACACCTGAGCTAAGTCAGGAAATTGTGATGAGTCTTCTCCTGAAACACTGCCTCTGCAATGACAATTTTGTGAAAGAGGAGATAGTTGAAGGTTATATTAACTTATAACATGCTTCTTTGGATCATTTTCATAACCACATATGGCCAGCGATATACTTCTGATATAGAATAAATGGTTTGGGGGAGGGGAGACAATCTGTTACAGCGGTATTGATTCAGTTAGGAGGCATGTGAACTGAATCTACCTTCTCGGGCTCAGCAGTCCTCTACTTGCACTTAATTCATGTCATGCCAGCACGCCCTATCTCATATAGAAGTTACACATTGTCCCTGTTCTCTTAAATTCTCTTACTCTAGAAATTTATATGAAATACTCACCTACCCATTGAAAGTGAGGAATTGAGGTTATATGAGGAAAACTGTGGTGACTACATTCTACAGAAATGCAGATGATTGAAAGGAATTGCAAGTTTACTAGCATTACCTGTTTCCCCAGCTTTTCCAACATTTAGCCTCAGATATCTTCATTTTACATGTCCATAGGACTTAAAAGCAATGTGAAAGGTGAACTTATTGCTGGTTTTCAATAAAAAAGCATAATGATACTTATGAATCATTTGGTTTAGTCATGCATCTTTGGATCTTGATCTCTTCTCGCCATAATGATGACTTCCCGGACCACCCCAAAGAGTTTTGGTAGAACTTTCTCTAGAAGAAGACCAAAAAGTATCTATCTGTAATCTGGTATTATTTTCGCACTATTGAAAGAAAGGTTGGTCAGTGCTTCCCCTGAACAATTAGAGAAATGGAATTGAGAGATTTCCCATCCTAGATATTTCCATCATATGAGGATAGGTCATCTGTGACTGAATGTCATTTTTTTTTTTACTGTTGAGTTAATGCATCACCTGCACAGTATGATTCAGCAGTGCTGTTTTGTACAAGTTATGTCTTTGTACCTAATGTATAAACAATAGATATACCATGCTATCATTTTATGGGTTAAATCTGCGAGTAGAATTAAGACCCTTCAGCTATAACCTGCTTTCCTGCTTTGTTATAGTTCCTGGTAATATCAGAAGTTAGTGTTTCTACAGTATTGAAATTTGATTGCTTTAAATGTTCTTGTGTATTATCATTAACAGTGTTAGCAACTTGATAATAATAAATATGAATTATGAGGGACCCAATCAAAACATTGCTAGAGCTATAATGTCTGCCATTGACTTTTCAATAAAAACTAGACAAAAGCTTAATGTTTACTCTTAAAATAATATAGAGGCATACCTTGAAGATATTGTGGGTTCGATTCTAGACCACTGAGTATTGCAATAAAGCCAGTCATAATCTTTCTGGTGGAGGGTCTTACCTTCAATTTATAAAAAAAAAAATGCAGCATCTGTGAAGCACAATAAAGTAAGACGCAGTAAAGTGAGATATGCCTGTACTTACCAGGAAAGTCACTGTGGTCAATAATCATTACATATGTACACATGTATTGCTGGTTAGTGATTACAGCTCAAAAGGTTAGAGTAGAGTGGGCCGTACTAAGTTCATTTTCTTCAGGTCCCAGGGACCTGGGGTAGGCATGCTTTTCCCTCTCTGCCATTTCTAATTGGATTTCTAATTACTACTTTAATTCTGGGGTTTGGGTAGTTAGTATCAGCATTAAGGATGCTTTTTAACTTGTATTCGTCTTATTGAGATGCTTCCAAAGAAACCAAAATAGAACTAAGGTGGCACATAGAAAAAATAAGAGGTCCAATATTAGTTTGGTATACATCGTATCTCTTTGACTGTCGCGTGAAATACACACTTGTTGGGAATCTCTGCATTTGAAGAAGGTAAATATTTGGGTTCCTAAGATAACAAGAAGAAGATTGATTAGAAAGGATAGGTTGGATGGAGGCAATTTCAAATGTGTTTATTCTTTTTTTAAATGGATCTCAGAGAGAAGAAGTGGGGAACGGAGAAAGAGAGACAGACAGACAGACAGACAGAGACACATTTGTCCCACCTGCTTATGTAGTCATTGGCTGCTACTTGTATGTGCCCTGACCCAGGATGGAACCCTCCACCCCGGTGTGTTGGGGTGATGCTCCAACAAGCTGAGTTATCTGCTGGGGCCTGTTTAGTCTTATTTGTAAAAAGTTTTGTTCAGGTCAGTTGATTTAATGGTTTTTATGTTGAAAAGAAATTTAACATGGATGTAGCTAACAGGTTTTACCTGCACATTTTAAATGAGCTAAAGAAAAATAACACTGAAGCTTGTTGAACAGTGCCTCATGAAATTAAATATCAGTTTTATTCTTTGCTGTGAGCCAGGCATTTGATATGTGAAGGTACAAATTGAACAACACAAGATGGAAGTTTTTACCCACTTGGTGCTTCCATTTTAGTGACATGAGATGGGGCTGTGAATAAGTAAAATATATGTCCAATGATTATAAGTGCTATGGAAAGGAGTAGCTATCATGGGGGTCTTTTGTCTCTGTTTTTAGGCCAATACCATGCTGTTTTGATTATTATAACTTTTGTAATATAGTTTAAAGTCAGAAGGTGTAATGCCACTAGCTTTGTTCTTTTTTTCTCAGGGTTGTGGCTATTCAGGGCCTTCGAGTTTTCATGCAAGTTTTAGGATCATTGATGCTATGTCTGTTAAAATGCCATTGGAATTTGACAGGGATTGCGTTAAATCTACAGGTGGCTTTGGGTATGGACATCTTAACAATATTCTTCCAATCCTTGAGCATGAAATACTTTTCCAGTTATTTGTGTCTTCTTTAATTTCTTTTATCAATGTCTTATAATTTTCATTGTATAGGTTTTCCACCTCCTTGGTAGAATCTATTCCTTAGTATTTTATTCTTTTTGAGGCAGTTGTAAATGGGATTGTTTTCTTAATTTCTGCAGTATTTCATTATTAGTGTATGGAAATATAACAGCTTTTTGTATATTGATTTTGTATCCTGCAATTTTACTGGTTTTGTTGATTAGTTTTAACAGTTTTTAAGGTGGAGTCTTTAGGGTTTTCTCTTATAATATGTCATTTGCAAATGAAAGCTTCTGGAAAATCTCTACAGTTTTTTTAAGAAATAGGAAACAAAGTTATTAGGTGACATAACAATGAGGAAATGGTGTCAAGTTTGAAAAAGAGGAGAAACTATAATATACTTGGTGAGCTTTCAGATTAAGGTACCCAGTAGCTGGTTTTTTCAGTTGTGAGCAAGCTTCTATGTGAATAGTCTAAGGTAGTGTAGAATTTTTTCCAGGACTCTGTTATGTTTGTCCATAGTTCATCCTTGGAGAATATTCCACAAATTCATTATTACTGTACCGTCTAATTGGAGCATATCCTGAATCATCTTGGATTTTTTTCCACTGGGTCCTTTATTCCATATGTATGTTTCCAGAAGCAAATAATTAATCATGTGTATACATGTGTACCCATGTACACACACCTACTGTGTGTGTTAGTCCCAAGAAATATAAAAAATGAAAAAGCTTTTGCTGTTAAATGGAGTCTGCACAATTTAATTTTGTAAGGTTTTTAAAAAAATCTTAGATGTCCATGAATTTAGAAATTGTCTACTGCTGTGTTAGTTACTTTCTAATTTTTTGTATTACTGTCTTATGTTCCTTCTAAAATACCACCTCCATTTCTGATATTTGAGGGGATTTACAGTTTAGAGGCACTAGTTATCAGCCAAAATCTTGAAGCTGTGATAGTGTATGTGCTGCTCCAGAAAGTTCTTGGAAACTGGCTGGTGGCTCAGACAGTGGACATGGTCTGTAACCTTTGTCTTCCCAAATTCCTGTAGGAATTCTATGCACATCTAGTCAACCTTTCCCAGAAAGACTCCATTAGGAAGGCTGATCATGAGCTGAAATACATGGACTTTTTGAACATATTATTAAATCCCCCGTTTTACTCCATCCCTTTCCTGGAGGGAAATAGTTCATAATTGATTGTCTGGAAATCTTGGAAAAGAAAACATTTTGTCAAAAAACAGATGACTTTGGAATGTTCTACATCTTTGGAATAAAATTTTCAGATGCTTCCGTCTTGCAAATGTTATCAAACTGTGGACATATCTGGGTTTAGATATGTTTCTGAATAAAATTTTTTTTCTGGAAAAGATGCTTTCTTATTGTATTGGTTCTTTTTCTAAAGCAGCATTATGATTTTAGTAGCCTTTCTAAATTTCTCCTTTTGAAATTCAAAATGCTATAGTTCTTTTTTGTCTTAAATTCCTTCCATTTGTTAAATAGGGCTTCTTGGGACATTTCACATATGCACTACAAAGAAAAAAATGCCTTTGTGTTTGCATGATTGACTTGCCCTCAAACAGTGTTTGTTTTTCAAAGATAAAGCTCATTTTGAAATTATTTATATTCATGCCTAAAGTAACTTGTCAATTTTCCAGTAATGAGCAAACTGGAGCACTGAACTCTTGGCTCACAAAAGGAGATGAAATGAAAGGATCCTAACATCAGAATTTATAGTATAGGACATCTCACTTGGGAATAAGTTGGATGAAAGTTTTACAGAACTAGGCCTTCCAAAAATTTCACAAAATATATAGTTGTGACTATATAAAAATGAACTTTAAAAGAATAATAACTTAGCAAAGTTAAGTCACTTACTTTGCTTCAAAGTTTTGTTTTAAAAAGCTACTTATATATTCCAAGGCCAATGGAAATTATAAATTGTAAGAAAAGTACAGAAGAGGGGCAGCACTTGGATATTGGATCATCTTTCCTAGTATTTTCCTTCATGTCTTCCTGCATAGTTTCTGATGAAGAACAATCAGTAGTATATGTTCCAGGTATGATTTTCTATGTTAATTTGGTAAGGTTCCTTTGCTTAGAAGAAAGGTAAAACATTAGGATGAATTTGCAGGTGTAACTAGATGTGGAACAGTTCATTAGATCCTACAGTTAAAAAAAAATAGTATGACCCTATTAAGGTTAAAAATACTTTATGTATTAAGGAGTAAGAGATTTTTATTGTTTTTATATTATAAGTAATAGCCTAAATTTAATATTTCAAAGACAAGTGTGAAAACTTCTTGATACAGAGTTTATGCAATAGACTCTAAAGTTTATTGAACTATCAAAAGTACCCCAATTATGTGACAAATCAGACCTTTAATTTCCCCTGAGTTAGGGTGTGTGGCATGTTGTAACTTACTGGTTTTAATATGACTTATGAACATGCCAGCACCTTTTAAGAATATTGCAGTTGAATCTTTAATGTACTCAAAATAATCTTTTCATGATTCATTATTTATTCAGAGAGCTTTAAAATGAAGTGTTTTCCTATCAGGTCCTATAAAGCAGAGGGTATCAACAGAGGGGTTGATATGGGGAGGGCCAAAGAGAATGAGAAAATATAATTTTAAAGTCTAATATGATGCAAATCCTTAGGAATTTCTGCAGAAGGAAATATCAGATCAAGACACAAGTTGATGAGCCCAAAAGCTAATGTTAAATTCAAGACTTCCAGGGGGGCTGCTGATTCGATCTCCATGGATTCTTTAAAAGGTGCAGGAGATTCCGTAAATGAACAGGTCAGTAATTTCGTATTTGTTTTTTTCTTATTCTTCAGTTTTTAACGAACACTGACCAGAAACTGATTTTTTTTTTTTTGCCAATTGTCAGTTGATGGCTATTGGTGCCAATTCAATGCCAACAAAAATTCCCAATTTGGAGTGTGGTGAGGAAGGAAACTTTATTCAGTGCAAACAGCTCAGTTGTGATAGAGCCCGGCTGTGAAAACAGTGAGGTTGTGGAACAGCTCAGTAGTGTTACAGGTCAGTTAGAAGCAGCCCAGCTATGAAGAGGCACTGGGCTGAAACCCTCTTAGGTTAGGCAGCTCTGCTCTGTATTTGCCACCTGCTTAGGTCCCTTTCGCTTTGTGCTGATCTGCCTCTGCACAGGTCTGCCTCTGAGCCAGTCATCTCCACTCCACTCCTCTATTCTTGTCAGCCATCTTTAGGAATTCACTTCCAGGTGGGAAAATGTAGTCTCACTCTTCCATGGAAAAGGAAAGTGTGTTCCTACAGCCAAAGGGGAGCTAACTTAACAAGACAGAAGTCCCTGTCCAAGGTCCTGGTTGGCCTGTGCTCATGCAAATGAGGACTCCAAATTCTTGCAGTTTTATTGGCTTAAAAAGCACTGTTCTGCTTGATCAGAATGGAGCTTCTCTGATTGGTTGGTGAAGATGTTGATGGCAAAGCCTCAGCCCCATTGGTTGAAACAGAATTCCAGAAACTCCTCTTTGTATAAGGGATGGCTCAGGTGTCAGAAACACAGTGCAGGGAAGCAATTCAGTGCAGGAGACAGGCAGCCTAATGTAGGCTTCTCCCTGAAGTGTGATTTGTGTGAGAGGCCTCTATTACTGCTAGGCTCTGTTTTTTCTGTGTGTGTGTTTGTTTGTGATTTTTAATTTAAACCCAGTGAAGCCATTATGATCCCTTCTTAGTAGGGTATCTTCTTTCTCAGGGTCCACATGACCAATAACTGGTATCGTATACATGGGTAGAAGAGTCATTGCAAGAACATTTAGATGATCTATAAGCATTCTGAAAAGATACAAATACAGAGGATTTTAGGATGCTTTGATGATGCTTGGTATGAATATAAAGTGTTTAGCTCCAAAATATCTGGGCTTTAAGACTTGGTTAAGAAAATTTATTATCTTGGTATGTCTCAAAGACCTGCATTCTGGCTCTCACCATTGTGGCTCAGTTGGTTGGGTGCTGTACTGCAAAGTGAAAGGTTCCTGGTCAGGGCACTTGCCTGGGTTGCAGGTTCTCTCCCCGGCAAGAGGCATCCAATCAGTGTCTCTCTCTCATCTCACATTGATGTTCCTCTCTTTTTCTCCCTTCTCCTCTCTCTAAAAATAAATAAAATCTTAAAAAAAAAAAAAAGGCCTACCTTCTGATCTGTGTGGAGTTAGTATCAAACTCCTGACTCTTTTTTATAGTAGGTATCTTTTATGATTTTTGTTCGTTTGAATTTTTTGGTTGAGATGAATAAACCCTTAAATATAAGAAAGGTATTTTCATTAAAAGAAAATTAGCCTACATTATTATCATTATTATTATTATTATTAATTATTAATTATTTCCTTCACTCGGAAAATAATATCCTAAAGACCCTTCCTTTTTCTGGCCCAATCATTGATCTCTCCTTCATTTTTGCCTGAACAATAGTGCCTCCACATTCCTTTGACACATGTCCTGAGTGGCTTATTTTACTTTTTGCTATGTTTTGACTTCCCAAGCAAAGTTTTAGTCATGCTTTAGCAATCTGTGACCTGCAGGCCAAATCTGTTTGCCACCTCTTATAAATAAAGTTTTATTTGAATATAACCACACTTATTCTTTTAATATTTATGGCTCTTTTATGTTCAGTAGTAGATTTGCTACAGAGACTGTATGACCACAAAACCAAGAACATTTACTGGTGAACCCTTTATAGAAAAAGTTCTCAATCCCTGGTTTATGTTCTTGAGGGCATTTCCACTGTCTAGTTTGTTACTAGTGATTACATTGAGTAGGCTGCAGGATTTAACTGTAGGCTACTTGTGTTATGTGTATCCCCCATGTACTGTCTTCACACTGGGATGTGACAGTTGAATTTGCAAGTTCTAATCAAAATTTGACATTTTTTATTTTTTAAATTTTTATTTTTTTATTTTTAGAGAGAGGGGGGAATGGAGAGAGAGAGAGAAACATCTGTATGTTCTCCGCTTATTGATGCTCATTGGTTGCTTCTTGTATATGCCCTGACTGGGGACTGAACAAAGGCCTTGATGTATCAGGGTGACACTCTAACCAACTGATCTACCTAGCTAGGGCTGAAGTTTTTTAATTAAAATTGTTTTATATTCAACTGTAACCTTTTGAATTAAGTCCATACTTTTTAAATGATTCTATTAGCTTATTAGCTATAAGTTTTGTTGGGCTATTTCACTGGCTTTGGGGATTACAGTATACATTTTTAATTTATCACAGCCTATTTTCAAAGGATATTTTCCCACTTCACCTATAATTTAAAGACCATTCAACAGTGTAAGTCCTCAAGGACAGGAGATAAGATAGTGCGGTGGTTAAAGCACAAATTCTGGAACCCAGTCTTGATCCTGCTACCTAACTGCTATAAACCCAGGCAAGATATGTATCCTCACTTTAAAATAGGAGCAATACCTATCTAGTGGCATTGTTGAGAAAATGAGATGGATTAGTACGTGTAAAGCACTCAGAATATTCCTAGTATGCAGTAAGCCCTAGATATGTGTTAGCTGTTATTACTGCTGTTTGGTCTAGTGCCCTTTGGAGTGAACCTCACATCATGGAGAGGTTGGAACAGGTGCATCTGCTGCTGACCTTGGTATACATGTAAGCAGGGCTATGGTGTAAGAAAGGTCCTCACTCTCTTTCATTAGATGTTTCTGTGACATTCACCAAGGGAAAGACTTTTTTTCTTTATATATTCCCTGGTGTTTGAGCGTGGTCATTTCTGCCTTTGAGTTCTTTCTGTCTGCTTTTCTATGGAAGTTTCATGATGTCCCCAGTGGGCAGACGGTTCCTTACCCTGTGTTGAGTTCACAGTAAATTTTAAATGAAACAAGCTAGTAATGTTTCCACAGGGTAAAAGATATTTAAGAAGTTTCACCTCCTGTGCTTATTTTAAGAAATTTCTTGAAGAGTCTTAAAAATTGTTTTTAGCAGAAGTTAACCAAAAGTTTCTTTTTTGTTTTAGAATTTCTGCAAGGGAGGAATAAAGAGTGCATCATTGAAGGATTTATGTCTTGAAGACAAAAGACGCATTGCAAATTTAATTAAAGAACTAGCCAGGTGAGACAAAACCTTACATGAAATGCATTATGATATAAGAGAGAAAATTCAAGAACTTGAAAACACATGAGTTTCATTTTCCTCTCTTGGTTATATGTCATATAGTGTGTCAAAACCTATATTTATATGTTTTAATTCAATGTAATATAATTATTACTTTTTTGTATTATTTTGAAATAATTTTAGGCTTATAGAAAAATTGCAAAAACATTGGAGGAATGAGGAACAGGTAGTGACTGCTAATGAGTATAAGGTTTCTTTGTGGGAAGACGAAAATGTTCTAAAATTATATTATGGTGATGTTTGCAGAACTCTAAATATACTAAAAGCCATTGAATTATACCCTCTAGTGGTTGAACATTATTATATGTAAATATATCTCAATAGAGCTCTTAAAAATTGGTATAGAGGGTCTCATACCTTTTACATAACTTTCTCTGAATTGTCAGAAACCATACTGCACTGGTCAGAAATTAACATTGGTACAATGTAGTGTTCACTAGCTACGGAGCTGTCGGATTTCACCGGTTTTTTCACTGACATATTTTTCTGTTCCAGGATCCTATTTTGTACTCAGTCTGCCTATTTCCTTAGTCTTCTCCCATGGGTGGCAGTTCCCTAGCCTTGCCTTCCATAGCTTTGATGCTTTTGAAGAACGTGGTCAGCTTTTTTGCAGTATTTCTTTCAATTTGGGATTTTCAGGGTGCATGTGATAACAGTGTTGCAATATGATGTGTTATATTAGGGGGGATAATGTTGAAATGTTGGTACTGGTGATTTTAAGTATGATAACTTGGTTAATGTAGAGAGTACGAGGTTTTTCTCCTGAAAAGTTATATTTTTCTGTGTGATTTATGAATATCATGAGGAGGTTCATGAAGACTATTCAAATACACCATTGTTTGTCCTGGGCTCTTACCCACTATTATAAGCATTGTTTCCATCGAAGGGACTTGTCTGGGACAGCTGTGTAGCTGTGATGTCCTAATGGTGACTTTGTATTTCCCCTGTTTATTTTGCATTTATTACTTGGAATTATTGTTTAAAGGTGAGCTATACCTTCTGCCCTACTTACTTTTGTTTATTATGTATTTCAGTATTTATTTTTTATTAGTAGCAGACTAAGGGACATTTAAAAATTTTTTTTATTTTGAGGTTTACCTGCAAGAATTAATAGAGAGGGAGAACCCATGTCCCTTTACCCAGTTTTCACAACTGGGAGTGTTTTGATTAACTATACAGTACAATATCACAATCAGGATATTTGATGAAATTCATCAACATTATGTAGATGTCACATGTACTCATTTGTGTGTATAATTAATTCTGTGCAGTTTTGTCACCCATGTAGATCTGTGTGCCGTCACACAGACACAAAACAGGTCTGTCACAAGGACACCGTCCTGCCCTTTTATAGATGTAACCACTTCCCTTCCTACCCCTCCCTGCTCCCTGGCAGCCACTGCTCTATTCTTCCTCCAATTTTGTCATCTCAACAATGGTCCGTAAATGGAGTCATACCCCTGGTGCAGCCTTTTCAGATTGACTCCCCCTCCCCCCAACTCAGCGTAATTCTTTTTGGATCTTTCGAAGTTGTTGTGTGTATTAATAGTTTGTTCCTTTTATCGATGAATAGGGTTCTGCATAAAGAATGTACCGCGGTTTATTTAACCATTCACCTGTTGAAGGTTATTTTGATTGTTTCCAGTTTTTGACTGCTACAAATGGAATTGCTATGAATGTATGTATAGGTTTTTGTGTGAATATAACATTGTCATTTCCTTGGGATATGGTGTCAAATGCATGCTCAGTTGCATTAAGAAATTACTGAGCTATTCTTGAAAGTGGTTTATCACTTTGCATTCTCACAGTAATGCAAGAGCAATCTAGGTGCTCTGCATTTTTGCTAATGTTATCATTGTTTTTTATTTTAGCCGTTCTGACAGATGTTTAGTGTTACCACATTGTGATTTTAATTGGCATTTCTACAATAGCCAGTGATGTTGGATGATGTTTCACAGGCTTATCTGCCATCAGTATCTTCCTCAGCGAAATGACTGTTCATCTTTTTTGCTCATTTCCTATTGAAATGTTTGATTTTATTGATTAATGAGTTTTGAGAGTTCTTTGTGTTTTATATACAAATATTTTATTGGATACATATATAATTTGCAAATACTTTTTTCTACTCTGTAGCTTGCCTTTTTATCCCCTTTATACAGTCTTTCATAGAGCAAAAGTTTTTAATTTTAATGAGGTTCAGTTTATCAATTTTTCATTTTATGCTTTGTGCTTCGATTATCAAGCTAAGAACTCTTGTGTGGTCTTAGTGCCTAAAGACTTTCTCCTGTTGTTCAGTTTGTTGGCATGTAGTTGTTAATGAGATTTTCATGTAATCCTTTGTCTTTCTTTCTGATTTTATTTATTTGGGTCCTCTCCTTTTTTTTCTTAGTGTGTCTGGTTAAAGGTTTGTCAGTCTCGTTTACCTTTTCAAAGAACCAGCTCTTGGATTCATTGACCTTTCCTTCCTTCCTTCCTTCCTTCCTTCCTTCCTTATTCTGGTTTTATTAGCCTGATAATATTAGCCTTATAAAATGAGTTAGGAAGTGTTCTCTTTTCTGTTTTATAGAAGAAACTGTATAAAATTGGTTAATTCTTCTCTAAATATTTAATAGATTTCTCCAGTGAAATAATCTGGGCCTGGAGATTCCTTTTAAAGAGTTTTTAAATTACCAATTCAGTTTTTTTAATAGTTATAAAATTATTCGAGTTATCTATTTGTCTTGATGGAGTTTTGGTAGTTTGTAGTTTTTGAGAATTTTCCATTTTTCTAAGTTGTCAAATTTATGAACATAAAGTTTTCCATGGTGTTCTCTTATTATCTTCTTAATGACTACAGGATCTATAGTGCCTCATTATGATATTATTGATTCGTACTTTCTCCCTTTTTTATTTTTGTCAGTTTTGTTAGGTTTATCAATTGTATTATTGATTTTTCAAAGAACTAGCTTTTTATTGATTTTTTCCTTTTTTTGTTTTCAATTTTATTGATTTTTACTCTTATTTCTCTTATTTCCTTCTGTTGCTTTGGATTTGTTTTGTTGTTTTTCTCCTTTCTTAAAGGGGAACTTAGAGACCATCCCTCTTTGCATGTGAGCGTTTAGTGCTATAAACTTTTCTAATTACTGTTTTCAGTGCTTCCCAGATATTTGATTTGTTGTATTTTCATTTTCATTCAGTTCCATGTATTTTTAAAAATTTCCTTTGAGGCTTTCTCTATGACCCGTGTATTATTTATGTAGAACTTTCTTGTATAATTTCCAAGTTTAGAGATACTCCTCTTGTCTTCCGATTATTGATTTCTAGTTTGGTTCTATAATGGCCAGAGAACAGCTTTTACATTTTTCGGAGGTTTGTTTTATGGCCTAAAATATGGTTGATTTTGGTAAATGCTCATGAGAGCTAAAAAATGTTTATAATTGTAACTCTCCTGGCTGACACCGAAAAAGTTGGTATATATGATCTTTAACATATTTACATTTTGATGTAATCATCCTGCATGTAACTAATCCCCCCTCACTCACTACTGCTGCTCCCTCTCCTGCACGAAAGCCTCCCTTCTCCTGCTAGAACTCTGACCCTCCGTGTCAGCCCTCCGTCCCCCCGCACCGCAACTGTCCTCTTCTCCCTGCCCTCCCACGCAGCAGTCCAGGCCATGTTCTGCCCAGATGCCCTTCTCCCCGCACTCTGCTTCTGACTCTTCACGTCCAGTGGTGCTCCTTCCTCTGCTTAGGCTGCAACCCCCTACACCAGGCTACCCTTTGCAGTATGTCCTCTGTACCTTTTTCTGCCTCTGGGCACCACATGTTGTTCTCTCCTGTGCTGATTCCCTCCTCACTCACCTTAGGTTCTAACTTTTTACCAGCCTGTGCCTTCTTGAGGATAACCCTTCTCCCTTTGCCTGGGCTCTGGTACTGCACACAGGGTTGCCTGTTGAGTTTACATCCTCTTTGTCCTCCTGGGGCTCTGAGGACCGGCTTCAAGTTAGCCCTTTGTGTGGTTGCTTTCTTCACTCTTTGTGGCTCCTCTATACCAGTACCCGCTCCCAACCCTTGCATAGACCCCTCCTCACTGTACTTGGGTGACACGGACCCCAGCTCTTGGGGTCCGCAGCTTTATAGATGAGAGAAGACAAATTCACACGGACTACCAAGTCCTGTGGAGGAAAAGGGATAGCATGGCCACTCTCTCAAGAGGAGAGCGTGCTGACCCTTGCCTTGACAAGCTTTTATTGCTTTTCTGGGCATATTACATTGAGGATGGTCCTTATTTACTATGCACAGGATCACTTCAGGTGGTTGCCTTTTACAGAAAACAAGGAAAGAATGTTGCTAATTACTCCAAAGAGAAGGATGTTGCAAATCAGGGGAAAAAGTGGTGGAACTGGTCACACTCTACACTTGGGAGGTTTATGACAGACTTTAGGAAATTACAGTAAGCACTTGTGCCTCAATTCAGGGTGAGGGAGTTTTAGCAAAAGCAAGTCTCATAGCAGCCTAGGTACAATGAAGGCCTGATTCCTCACAGGAGAACCTATCTGTGGGTGTAGGTCCTGTGCTTCGGACTTCGCTTTCCACTGGCATTTCCGAGTAAGAGTTGGGCCTACGCCATGCAGAACAGTCTCCTGTACTTGGGCTCTGAATCTCCATGCCAGCTCACTCCCACAACCTTTGCAAGGATACCCACACCGAGTGCTCAAGGAACTAATGATACCCATCCTCTTCCATGTAGATGGACACTCTTCTCATCTCAGTACCTGTGCCAGATACCCCTGAGTGTTGATGCCCTTCTCAACCTGCTTGGTCGCTGCTGTCCCACTAGACAAATCTGGTCACACGCCCTCTTGGTCTCACACTGATAGCAACTGTGCCCTGTCATGGTTTTAGGACTTACTTGTTCAAGAAAAAAAGGAAAAGTAGAAAATGAAGAAGACAAAGAGG